CGGCGAGACCGCGAGGCAGCCGTCCCACTGCGTGTGCTCACACGGTGCTGCAGGTCAGCCCTCGTCCCCAGCACACCCAGCAGCAGAAGATGCCGGGCGGGAACATGCGGGTGCTGGTGCTGGCACTGACGCTGGCACTGCCCAGCGCTGGGCAGCAGCACGAGGAGGAGGCCCAGCGCATCATGAGCACCACACCGGTCATTGACGGGTGAGCAAAGGTTGCCTGGCCCTGCTGCTCTGGCTGCATGGGAATAACCCAGCTGGGAAACCCCACTGGGACAGCCCGAGGGGGGGATCCCCATGCTGGGTTGTGAGGGGATGGGGTACAGCTTTCCCAGGGGATCCCTGTGCCAGGCACTTCAGGGATGTGTGGGGATAGGGGACGGCTTTCCCAGGGGATCCCCATGCTGGGCACCCCGGGGCCATATGGAGAAGGGAACAGGTTTCCTGGGGAATTCCTGTGCTGGGCACTCTAGGAATGTGTGGAGAAAAGGGACAGCTTTCCCAGGGGATCCCCGTGCTGGGAATCCCAGGGCCATATGGAGAAGGAGACAGCTTTCTCCAGGGATCCTGGGGGACTGTCCATGCAGCTGAGGGGATCCCCAGGTGGTGCGGCCCAGCAAGCACAGGCAGAATGCCAGGAAGCAGGAGCCAGGCAGCCCCAGGGGAATTCCCTGCTCAGAGCAAGCAGGTCACATGGATTCATGTCCTAAGGGACATCCCTGGTCTCATGGCAGGACCCTCAGGAGGCTCATGTCCACCACAGGGTCTCCCTGTGGCACCAGCACTGTGCATGGCAGGCACTGGAAGAAGGAGCAGGGCAGAGGGAGTTGGGGGAAGTGGGAATGTGATGCAGGAGGCAGGAAGTGGGAGCTGTACTGTGGTAGTGGCCCCCCAGAACTTCCCCAGCGACACTTAGTGTCGGATGCATGTGGCAGGATACCAATATGCGTGGCAGGATGTCCTTGAGGTGGTGACATCCCACAGAGGTCCCTGTTGTAGGGATGCCAGGCTGGCTGTCCTGGGTGCGAGGAGTGATGGGCGTAGCGGGTAGAGGGGTGCATGGGAGAGTCCTCTGAGGGGTCCTGTGTGCAACTGTGAGTGACCTGTCTCCAGCACACAGCTGGAGCTACTTGGGTGGCTTTTTGGCAGAGGGGACAGATGGATGGCAGATGGATTGGTGGGTGAGTGAATGGATTGAGGATGGGTGAGTGATGGAGAGAAGGGTGGAAGAAGGATGGCTGGAGGATGGAGGAGTCCAGATGCATGGGGACTGAGTGTACAGCCAGCCAGAGAGGTGGGCAGGCATGAGCTTGGCTGGGTGGGCAGAGTACCAGACCATGCCTCACTGCCCATTCCGCTCTCCCCAGGCACAATGACCTGCCCTGGCAGCTCCTCCTGAGGTTCAACAACCAGCTGAGGCTGCCACAGGCCAACCTGACGCTGCTCAACGACACTCACACTAACATCCCCAAGCTGCGCCGAGGGCACGTGGGAGGGCAGGTGGGATGGCAAGGCAGGGTGGGCAGTGGGGAGGGCAGTGGGGAGGGCAGGGGACATCAGGGTGGGCACAGGCCACTGGGGTAGGCACCAGGGTGGGCAGGGGACACCAGAGCATGTAGGGGCACTGGAGAGGACACTGAAGTGGGAGGGGGACTGTGGTGGGCAGGGCCACTAGGAAGGGCAACTAGGGTGGGCAAGGGACTCTAAGGTGGACAAGGGGTGCACCTGAGTGGGCACTGGGGCGGGCAGGGGCACCAAAAAGAGCTCTGAGGTGGACAGAAGGCACTGGAGAGTTTGAAGAGGTCACCATGGTGGGCAGGGATTCTGGCGAGGGTACTGCAGTGGACACCGAGACAGGCAGGAGGCACCGAGGAGTGCACTGGAGTCAGCAGGGCGCACTGGGAAAGGCACCAGGACCAGCAGGGACACCGGGGCGGGGGGCAGGGGGCCAGTGGCCACAGATTGATGCTCCGGTGCTCACGGCCCCCCCGTGGCAGTTCTGGTCGGTGTATGTGCCGTGCGAGACGCAGAACAAGGACGCGGTGAGGCGCACGCTGGAGCAGATCGACGTGGTGCACCGCATGTGTGAGCTGTACCCCGAGGCCTTCGCCTGCGTCACTGACAGCGCCGGTGAGGGGGTGCGGGATCGGCTGGGCGTGTTTGGGGGTGGTGGGGGGCCCTGCCCAT